CGCCACTATGTATCTCCGAGCACTATTAACACCCAATTGCTACCAGCCTTATCAGCAAGCATGAATCAATTTTTCGATATCTATATATACATATATATATACATATATATATGTATATATACATATATATATATATGTATATATATATATATATATATATATATATATATATATTCTTGTGATATACATATGTCAATACGTACTGCCAAAGTATTCTTACGTACATTATATGTTAGCGCGTCGGCACATATAATTCACATACATGCACATAGGTGATATGTGATATGCACGCAAGGAAAAGCGGAATGGAACAATGGACTCGAAATCGAGCGCTAGAGAGCCGGGAGAAAAAATGTGTTTGAGAGAAACGAACCGGTGTTACCTCTCACCGTTTAAAAACACCTTCCGATTTTTCTCCATTGTTGAGAACCACCCTTCAGCATAACATCAAAACAATAAAAGCGAGAGGTGTCCTTTTGCCGTTGGAATACCCTCCTGTACCCTTTGTGTTATTCGATTTTACCGTTTAAACGGATGTTTCTCTTGGCTTATTGAGAATGTTTGCTGTTAAAACTGCAACGGGGGAGGAGAGATAGAAACCTCATTGTTGAGATACCTTTCGACTGATTTATACTATTACTTTCCGTTTAATTTCCAGCACGCTAGATAAGGCATGCGAGATGAGAAAGTATCAAGAGGATGATTGGAATGCACTTCGAACGCATCCATTTTTAAATACACTTCCTCTCTCTCTCTATCTATCTCTCTCTCTCCCTCTCTGTATCAGCTTCCGATCAGCACTTTCGCATTTTACGTCTCGATGTTCCGCGGAGAAATGCACTTTGAAATTGCGAAGAGAGTACAAGAATTAATACGATTATGTTCACAATCTCCATACTTTAATATCGGAAGCCTCGCGGAATACCAGAACGCTCTTCCATTACAGCGTGCACGCGAATACGCTAGCATAAGCCTTTTTAGCTCTTATGTGCTGTCGTCGTGCGTGTGTGTGTGCGTGTGTGCGTGTATGTGTGCATCGAGATGACGTTTCGGATACGCGACTGCAACCATTAACATGCACTTGCTCGAATAAAATTGCGACTTTAAATTAACTCGCGGAAAACTGTTGGAAAGTTATTTCGGGAAAAAGATCGCAGAAGATAAAATAAATCGCGCTACATTCAATGGTATATTGATAGTTTAACACGATGTTCGAAAAATTTGCGAGTTGAAGTTGAAATTTTAAAATTATAATTGGCGATCAAGAGTGGCTCTGAAATGCAGACTTGATAATTTAAAAGTAAATTAAAATTTTGCCTTATCTTCATTGGATAATATTTCTTCACGAAGTTATAGCCGAGTGTTAGCAGACATTCGGCGAGTCGAGTATAATCGAGGTGCAGTGAAAAGAGCAGTTTCTCCGGTTGCCGCCGCGAATCCGGCGACACGGCCGCAGGAAAGGCCTGACGCGCAACTACCCCCGTTCGAATGCAAGCTGTACCCGTTTCAGGAGCTCGCGCACAAGCTCTCACGGAGCTTCGACATGCAGGAGGCGCAACTGCTGGAGGAGGGCGGCTCCGGCGGCGGTTCCGCCGGAAGTGGGACCGCGGGGGGCCCGCCGCGCCGGCATCACAGCGTGCAGAGGCTGACGCGTAGCGAGATGTCGGAGAGGCGCGAGGAGGACGGCGCCCTGGTGGTGCCCGATCACCAGGGCAACCTGCGCATCACCGTGAGGAAGACCAAGTCGATTCTGGGCATCGCCATCGAGGGCGGCGCCAACACCAAGCACCCACTGCCCCGGATCATCAACATACACGTAGGTATCTTTCCATACTAATCGCCAATTCGGCGACGGGTAAGGTGGTGCTGTGGAGATCAGAGGGAAGTCGAAGCGACGCCGAGGAATCGCGAATTAGGGGAGGGCGGGTTGAAATCGGTGCCGGGGGATTTCGAGACGAGTCCGGGGGTGGTCGAAATGAGTTTGGAAAATGTTGGCCGAGAGCGAGATTAGGTCGAGACTAAGAGGCTATTGGATTGCTGCTGCGAGATTCGAGTTGACGTCAGAAGATGTTGGGTCAAAGCGAGGCTAAGAATGAAGTTAACGACGCTCTTGGCGCTATTATTTGCGACACCAGCCAAATGAGCGACAGGATTTCGTCGTTTAATTAGTTTGGGAGCTTAATCTTTGAAGTCAGGGGAAGGTGGCAAGTTTCGCGCGAAAAGTGTACGCGAGCTTTAGGAGATATCTTATGTAATTAATTATCTTATGTAATAATTATTACACAGTAATTTTGTCGCGTAGCATGATAACACTGAAATTATTCTCTCTTCCTCTCTCCCCCCCCCCTCTCTCTCTCTCTCTTCAGTGAACCTTTTTAATGAGATACATTACATCCAAGCATCTTATTATTACGACATGTTCGCGTTACGAGAGGCACTTGACTGTCTCTCGCTTAAATGAAGTTCGGCCTCATCGAAACACCCGATTAATATGCGTCGAGTGAATTTATCGTCGACGCCATTTACGACGGCATAAACAATATTATGCCATAAACGTGACTAACGCGTGCGGTAATTCATTGCAGGATAATGGTGCTGCTTACGAGGCTGGCGGCCTCGAAGTCGGTCAGCTCATCCTCGAGGTCGATGGTCAGAAAGTTGAAGGTAATACGTGAGCAAGGTCAAAAGAACAATAGATCTTTAATACGCAATCGTGCGACCGATCTTCTTGGTGAGCGTTCGTGGCATTCTCTTGATAAATATATCAAGCTTTCTATTTTTTATAATTTCCTAAACTTCCAAAAATTCTGGAGTTATTGACGAATGTTATTATTGGCATTAACGACGATAAAAATCCTCGCTGCTATCTTCAAGGATTCCATAATTCTTGAAGAAATTCCCAGACGAAATTTCAGACTCAATAAAAAATTAATATTAATGCTAATATTTAAGAGATCTGGGAATCAGTGGAAAATGTTCTCTATCAGTTTCTCGTAATCTTCTATAATTTTTAAAGAATACACTGATTAAAAAATCACTTTTAGCATCAACAACCATAAACTTCTAAGCTTGCTATACTGTGTATACGAAAAGAAATATTTAAAAAATAAAGAATATTTATTCCGTGGATGCTGACATATTTAATTCAATCTAAATTTTTATATTCAAATGGAATAAGCTGTTGCTTTCGTGAAAAGCTAAACACTAAAAAATAAGTATATCTTTTTATTTGAAAAATATTTTATATCAGTATAAATAAATATGTTATTGGTACTCAATGAATAAACATTTTTTATTTCTTAGATATTTCTTCTCTCAATGTACAAAGATGCTAAATTTTTTTAGCAAGTTTCTAAATAATTCTAGAATTCCACAATTAATGAAAAATTCATCTCTAAATATTAATAAAGTTAAGATCGATATCATGGAAGCAACGGAAATCTTGATTTCGAGCGAGGAGATTAATTTCGTGCCGTTTTCAGGACTTCATCATCAAGAGGTCGCGCGGCTGATCGCCGAGTCGTTCGCGCGGCGCGACCGGAACGAGATCGAGTTCCTAGTGGTGGAGGCGAAGAAGAGCAACCTGGAGCCGAAGCCGACGGCGCTGATATTCCTGGAGGCGTAGCAGGAATCTCCCACCTCCGAGCCGGAACCACCGTAGCCCAACCTGACCAGAGCTCGGCCGGCGGCGATCCAGGAGCGTCGTCGCCGTTGAATCCGATCGAGACCGATGTGAATTATCCCGGATAATTCACACGACTTTCGGCCTCGCGGAGAGGGTTCCAAACCACTAACCGTCTCCGCGAGTTCTCGATTCGGATGGCCGAGCTGTTGGTTAGCTGCTGCTAATTCACCTGGCCCTGGTGGTGGGAACTTCATTCGCTGACGAAACAACAACAACAAAAGAACGCTCGGAAGATACAAAGAGGACGACGAGACGCTGAAGAGATGGCGGAACGGTGTTGCCTTCGGATTCCGACCGGGACCTTCGGAAGATCGCGTCGAGAGGCTTCACAAGGATTTATAACGCGAGGATATCGAAATCCACGAATTCTGCTGAAACGGGGAAAGCCCAGGGAGTTCCCGGGGACCGTCTCTCTTCTAGTCCAAGTCGCACTCGCTCGGACTCGCACTTTCTTTTCCTCGCGTGAGAGCGGCGGTCGTGCGAAGAACAAATTCGCGTCACGCTCTCAGCACCATGCGCAAGGCGACCGCCGCGAAAGAGAAAATTCCTCCGACTGTATATATATATACACACACACATATAACACGCCGCTGTACATACTTTTCTCTAACAGACAGTTCGATAAAGAGCAAGTAGCCACTCCGCCGAGAGCGCCGAGACCGGTGAATTCCGAAGGTTCCGAAGGCGACGAGCAACGCGCCGGTCTCGCCTCGGCGCCTCCGCGAGGCCGAGAAGCTGTTCGTTCGCCGATTAATTGCGCGATCATCGTCGTCGTCGTCGTCGTCGTCATCGTCGTCGATCGACCACGAGGATGCTGCCGAGATACGCGCGAATGCCCTCGCGTCTCTTTCTCTCTCTCTCTCTCTCTCTCTCTCTCTCTTTTGGAGGCAAGACCTCGGAGAGAGAAAAGCAACAAGATCGATATATTTTTCATCGGCATCGCGTCGTCGCGAACGCAGCATCCGGTGGTTGCTTCGTAGACGGGGGCGAGGGAGGGAGGCGGACGGGAGGAAACACGAAGCGAAGGAAGGGGGAGATCGTGCAATGTGCCAAACTCTAACGCAAGCTCTGTTTCACGTATACTAAATATATAAAGCTGCTAATCGATAAGGGACTCGCGCACGAGAAGAGGACACGGGTGACGCTCTCTCCCTCGCGCGCGATCGCGGGAGACGCGCAAGCGAATGCATCGAGAGCGAATGCGGACTTACATGCTCACAGTGTTGCGTGAAGATTACCTCACACACACTCACAGACGACACACACGTTTGCAGGAGTATATTCGCGCGGGATCCGAGCCGCGAGGGCGACGACGACGACGATGTCTAGTCGCGCGTCCGCTCCGGCCGGTTCCGCCCCGTCGATTAATTATGAAAGATGCGGGAGATACGCGCAACCAAGAAGCGGGAGGGCGCCAGTCCAATGAGAGAAAGAGAAAAAAATATACATATATAAATATATATATATATATATATATATATAGAGAGAGAGAGAGAGAGAGAGAGAGAGAGAGAGAGAGAGAGAGAGAGAGAGAGAGAGAGAGAGAGAGAGAGAGAGAGAGAGAGAGAGAGAGAGAGAGAGAGAGAGAGAGAGAGAGAGAGAGAGAGAGAGAGAGAGAGAGAGAGAGAGAGAGAGAGAGAGAGAGAGAGAGAGAGAGAGAGAGAGAGAGAGAGAGAGAGAGAGAGAGAGAGAGAGAGAGAGAGAGAGAGAGAGAGAGAGAGAGAGAGAGAGAGAGAGAGAGAGAGAGAGAGAGAGAGAGAGAGAGAGAGAGAGAGAGAGAGAGAGAGAGAGAGAGAGAGAGAGAGAGAGAGAGAGAGAGAGAGAGAGAGAGAGAGAGAGAGAGAGAGAGAGAGAGAGAGAGAGAGAGAGAGAGAGAGAGAGAGAGAGAGAGGTCTCTCATACACATATATATGTGTATGAGAGACCTCTCTCTCTCTCTCTATATATATATATATAGAGAGAGAGAGAGAGAGAGAGAGAGAGAGAGAGAGAGAGAATTAAACGCGAGATCCGCCCGCGAAATTACGCGAACCTCTCTCGGTCTCTTTCCTCGGAGTCCACTCCATGAAAATCGTAAAGTCCTCGTAAAGATTTCCACAAGAACGTTTTGTAACAGTGCGTAGATTGATTTGGTTCAGAGAAACGCGGTTCTTCTCGCGGACTCGCCGCAAACGTGGAGTCCGACGGATTCCGGAGTCGCTCCCTGCCGCTTCTCGCTTGCGGCCACGTTGATCAAGATTTTCGTTAATTCGAGTGTTTAGGTGTCTTTCGGCTGGTCCTCGAAATCGCGCCTAATATCGCTTAATAGTCTGTTAAATGTTACTGTATAGATTAACGTTGATGTAGTTGATAGACGTTGATCGGGCGTCGCTAGGACGTCGCGCGTTGTTCGTTTGTTGCGTTATCGATTGTGTGTTAGAGATAATTTAACTCCTCGGGCGCGCGATACTACCCGCGCGAGCGGGTACCCTCCTCTAAAGTATTTTTCGATTTCATTCAGATCAGAAGGAAATTTAACGCGGTCTTCACTCCTGTTTTCGAAGTGTCAGATCCACCCGAGGTACTTTATTCCTTCAGAAAATCACATTACCCGTTCACTTGGCTCCCATTCCATGAAGTCACATTCGGGGTAATTGTAAGTCACGGAAAAGAGTGAAGATCTCTCGCGTTTAATTCATTATTCGATCGAGTTGGAAGAGAAAAAGAAAACGCGCGATCACCAAGGCGTCACGTATGCGCGACGGAATATCGCGACCCGGGAGGGTTAATGATTATTTTTTTGACTGTCGAATGGCCGAAATGCGTCGATGATCGTCATCGAGGCGGAATTAACGACGATCTTGACCGAGATCGAGATGGTGTCGGCTCGTTTGTTACGCGGATTGTTGAGGCTTAAAAGAAGTATATTACTCACGTACACAACGTACACATATTTATACATGTACATATATAAGCATTATGGTGAGAGAAAAAGCGAAAAAAAGAAGGAGAGTGAGGGGGAGAGAGAAACTACTACTGTAGCGGAATTGCAAATCGTACCTACTGGGCGTCAAAAGCGCGTCTCGCCGAAGGGAATAATTTAAAGAAGATAAAAAAATAAATGCATACGCGGTATTTTCAAAGAGAAAATTATACTTAGAGGTGCATACACGACGCGAACACACACACACACACACACACACACAGCAAGGGCCTGATCGAGTTCAAGTGATGGGAAATCGCGGGGGATCCTGCGGCAGGATCTCTCGAATGAGCTCTGACTGCAAGAAGAGAGCGCTTAGATGGAAAGGCGAAGGAGACTCATGTTCCTTCTCGTCCTGATGCGCAAATTACCGTTGTCCGATTTCGAGTGCTTTCGTAGATTCTCACACAGACTTTCTCAGACTGTGAGTGCGACCCATTTTGGACGCGAACGCTTTGTTACGCTTGAAGAAGAGCCACGATTGCTCCATATGACGTTCCAAAGCATCTCTAACGTCTAATGGATCGCACCCTACGTCTGTAAATGCAGACACGCCGGAAGATGGAACCGAGTCAATTATGTTATCGCCGACAGTTGGATAACGGAGAAACCGAAGATTATATTTTCCTCTTTGATACGAGCGCTTCCTTTCTCGCGGGTCAGAAAGATTCACTCGAGACTCACTTCTCGCGTGTGAGCACGATTTCGACGATGTATCTAGCGCCAAGGTCGCGCCCAAATTGAGAATCTACAGAGAGCTGAGTTGTACATTGTCTTCGCACGTATGTAAAAGATACAGAGAGAAAGCGGAAGTGCGAAGTGAGTAAGCAGCGCGTGATGATAAGTATTTATCATCGCCATGAATATTTTAATACGACGATCATTTGCCGAAAAAGAAGAGTGAAGCGACTCGATCGTCCGTGATTTCCCCGATTAAGCGAAAAAAAAAAATCGTTAAAACTGTAGAATATATTACGCGTGCGAGCTATTGTGCAGTTGTACGAGAGCCAAATCGAGCCACAAGCGAGCGAAGGGAAACATTTAAACACAGGCGATTAAGCCCTTACCACATGATACGTGAACGTCGCATACATAAATACGTCTCATCTGCGCTTCAGTTGGATCTTAGAAAGAGAATTTCTGACGTATCCGACTTTCTCGGCTAAATTTGTTAAGAAATTACTCGTCACGATTCTGCAATTTTCACCTTAATTTATGTCTTGATGATAAGGCCTCAAATAAGTACTTCAATTGAATTAAATTTAATTAGTGGTTTGAACTAAATTATTTTATAATTGTGCTGCTATAGATTTCAATTTCTTCCTATTGGCAATCACATGATGAAGAAAAATCGATGTACAACCGAGAAACAATCGTGCGGTAAGGGCTTAATGGCCGAAGATCTCACAGCAAATGTGCCAAAAAGTTTGCGCTTAATCACACCGATCATCGACAACGACGGCTTCAAGTTGACGTAATCATAGAGAAAAAAGAGAGAGAGAGAGAGAGAGAGAGAGAGAGAGAGAGAGAGAGAGAGAGAGAGACAAAGAGAAAAGAAGAGGAAGGTAACATCAAATCGAGAGATGGATTTCCCAGAGCATATTTGAACGTTTTCTTCGCTATTGTTTTGTAGCACGCATGGGAGCATGATAAGTCGCTTTAATCACTATGTCACAGTGAAGAGAGTCGACAAGATAGCGGAAGAGGAATTAAGAGAGCGCGGGCTGAGCAAACGAAACGGTCGAGTTTGCACTTTTCGTTTCCTATCGGACAAGAAAAATAGAAAAAAAGGAGCAGAGGCAGAGGATCTGTCGCGTTCCGACCGGCGAAATTTATCGAGAGGATCGTGGACGGACTCGACGGACGAGAAAGGACGAGATGGTGGCTCGAGGATTTCGGAAAGCGACGGCACGAGCGGAAACTTGACAGATAAAATAAGATGAGATATTTTTGTAAAGCTTTCGATGTACACCGCAATCCCAGAAACGTCTCGAAGATCTCAGCTGACATATCCGACAATGCCTTAATGCTTTTAAAACCGAAAATTATCGGGGAACGCAATGCGGATGAGAAACGACAAAGAAACGTTGAAACGTGAGACACCTGAGATCCTTCGTGAGATTCGTTCGAATGAGAGACATACGGACTTGATCTCCAGCTCGGTATCTCCTTATTAAAAAGCCCGAGTGCAAAGTTGCAAAGCTGCGAGTGTTAAAACTTGGTCGAGGTGTTCAGGATAATTACAAAATAAAGGCAGGAAAAAACTTCAACATTTTCACCTCGTGATTGTCACCAAGGTGACATTTTCATCTTGTGCTGAAGTTGATCGAGTGATATTAGTGCGATGGGGACGAATCCGTACGTTTTATCCGGACAAATCTCACACAACCCCATCCCGCCCCTTTCAAGACATAAAACACCGCGAGACACTCGGTAGCACTTAAAAGTGCTCGTAATAGCGCAGGCTTAATGGTAGTACAATTCTATCTTTCTTCGTTCCAGAATACGAATTTACAAAATTAAGGAGAAAAGAAGAAGGAAAATTTAACAGAGAGAAATGGTAGACAATGAAAGTAGGATAGATAAAGAATAATCGAAATGACGCGAGGCACTGATATCAAACCGAGCATTAATAAATAAATTAGCGGCGCAACTTTCTACCTAGATAAACGTTACTTACTTTCGCACGTACTCACGCACGTACGGAAAATTTGCGGCCCGCGAAACGATTTCGCGTTCGCGCGCTAATTAAGCTGCAGCCCAAGTGATGTTCCCGAGTGAGCTCTTTAAAAATCCTCCTTCATCAACGCTTCTCCCTGATATACGATCCAATATTCTTGAATTTTCCCCTAAGGTCTCGTTTTAGATGGAAAAGATAGGAAGAACAGGAGAAAGATGGAAAGAAAAGGAGAAAAAAAGATAGACGGAGAATAGAGAGGCGCGTTTTTAAATTCGAAAGCGCGCAGGAGTTAATTCGACTTTTTTGAGGATTCGATTATCTAACAAAGTATATAACAGTGGCTCTCGTCTTTTACGAGATAACGATGTTAAAGTCTTTTCAATCAGCATGTAGACCCTGAACCAGACTTAATACTTAATCTCATACTCTCCTCTAGAGAATAGACGGAAACCCAAGGTATCTCACGTGGCATGTTGGTGTATCGTTGTGCGATAATAATTGGATGTAAAACCGGAGATGTGTGTTAATTAAGCAACAACTAATGCAAAAGTCTCGCGTAACTCCTATCTACTTACGTATCGCGATCGGAAGAAGAAAAAGATTAGCGACGGAGGTCTCTTAACTGTAGGTGGACGACGTGTTGTTATCGCATCACGCGGATTCTCGCGCTTCATTGTGCAGAAAATGAATGATAATACTAACGAAATAACCGTCGATCAGCAGATATTCACCGACTTGCGTTGCGTGTGTATCAGTGTTATTCGTTTAAACCATCCGTCGATCCGTGTCGACTGTATTATCTGAAATTGCATTATCTTATATTTTATCTCTCAAATTCATATGTCGTGTCGGAATGACTAATATAACGGGTA